CTTCTCCACAGGATAATTTCAGCAGGGACTCAAATCTCCATCTGATGCCTTTAAGAGAATTGAATTAACCAACTGTATTGGTTAGAATTGGACCCTAATTAAAGCACATCTGTGGGGAAGCAACAGTTTGAGAAATATTGATATGAACTGCTTCTGGCAGAGGTCCGAAAGGCTATGGGGGATTGGATATAGCTCAATACCAATTCAAAACATTATATCTTGACAAATTAAAAAGAGTTCCCTGGTTCAAAAGAAGTTGTTACAAGTCTGATGGTGTCCTCCTAGTACCTGTTATTTTTAATAAAAATGAATTATATTAATAGGTTCAGATTTGCAAGTTAACTTTCTTTAGAATGTCTATGGAGATTCTGTCATCCAGGTCATGGTTGTTCCAAAGGTGCTTTTTTTCAGGAGGCAACTGGGCTTTCTTGCTTTTCTTTGAAGACATTTCGCTTCTCATCCAAGAAGCTTCTTCAGCTCTGACTGGATGGTGGGGAATGGAAGGATTTATATTCCTTGCAGACAGCTGGTCATTTGCATTCTTTTAAAGAGTTGTTGAAGCAATTTGGAGGTTTACCTGTGTCCTCAGGGTCACCTGAGTAGTGCAAATGTGTGTGGAGCTTCTTGGCTGCAGGATGTTTTCTGCCCTGTGTCCCTTCACTGTTGAAGACAGGTGCAGGCTGTTGGGGATGAATCTGTGTGGTCTGCATCTCAAACTGAAGCGCCAATGTTTCCTACAGTCTGCAATGTTTTCTGGAAATCCATGCATTTCTTTAGAATGCCCTCTCAGGAAACAAAGGCATGACTGAAAATGAAATTTCAGAGTTAGATTTTCCAACTGACTTTTTGAGAAATGCCCCAAAAGGAAAGTGAATACAGGGAGCTGTTTTTGTTGATATAGCAGTTTGTTTGTACTATTCAGAGATTTATTATGGTATAATGTGCAATGTGACATTTTAAAGCAACCTAAAGTGATCACATGGAAGAGAAGAATGACCAGGAGATAGGACATGAGTCCAAAGCACCCATTTGTAGATATTTTTTTTAAAATTCAGAAAATTTGAAGACCTGATTCACTATTGGAAATTAATATAATTCATACTGAATGTGCTTCAAAAGAAAGTCTTTGTTATAAGTCTCTATTCCTCTAAATCTACCTTGCTTATTTGGAGCTTAATAATGTTCTCTTATTAACTGCTGGGTTGAGATTGTAATGCAAAATCCTATTCTGGGCTCCTTGGAGGAAAGATATGATACAGTGTAAAAGACTTCATTAGATTTCAACCCTACTATAGTTGTAGGCACAGAAAAAATGTATATTTCTATGAATCCTTAAGTAAATGGAAGTTAACACAATTTCTACATGGTATAGAGTTAAATATCTCATTGTGCTGCAAATTTGAATGTATATTATCTATCTGCAGTTGTTTATAGATTTTGCATATAAACAATGTAGGAAAGGATTTGGACATCCTTTCAGTATTTTGTAATACCTTTTTGGCAGAAAGAACTGCTTGCAAAATGTTTCCTGTGGCAAGTTCCTTTTTTGTTGTTGTTGTTTTGGGAAATGTTTTTCTTCTCGCATAATAATTCTACCTCAGAATTATTCTTAGGTCTCCTTGAATACACCATATGTTTGAGATTTTCTCATTTTCAATTGTGTTCAGGGTGGGAGGTTGAAATTTTAAAAGCTTACAGTTTAGGGGGACACGGTGTCTGGGACTTATTTTCAAATCAACCATAATGTATGGTTGTACAGGGGAAAAAAAGAAGGCTTTTGAAATGACCTTCACAGACTTAAATATTACTGAAAATCCTGGGGGAGATCTCAGACACACTATATACACACGGAGTCATAAGAACAGGTCTGATCTGGAAGAGTCCTGAAAAAAGGGGAAAAAATCAAAAGCAAGAATAGAAAGATTAAGCAGCATCCATTTCCTATGAACTATTACTTTTTCCAAAGAACGTGTTAGAAAATATTGACTTAATTTTTCCATTTGCTATATTCTGAATTCAGTAAGCAACTACATACACATAGGAAGTATGAACTCAAATCTGAAGGGTGCTTAACTGTATCATGTGAAGGTTGCGTCAACTTCTCTTGACTTGGGGATTTGAGGGTGAAGGTTCGTTCTCTGAGCTTGTGGGTAGGTAACATCTTCAGTGGAGTTTAGGGGATGACTGTATCAATACTCTTCTGTTTATAAGGGCTTCAGGTGTGGGTGCGTCAAGTGAGGGTCTTGTGATGGTCAGGTGTGAGTCATCAGTGAGAGGCTTGTGCTGGGGCGGTTACATCAGGTCAGGGTGATTGGAAGGTGAACTGGTGGGAGGGGGTCTTGCTTGGGTTGGTTGAGGGTTGGTGCTGTCTCTGGCTGTGTGGTTGATTTGGATTCTGAGAGGTTTGTAGGCTGGTTGTAGGTCAATGTTGATGGAATTGCTTGTGGAATGCCAGGCTTTGATGAACTCCAAGCATGGCGGGTGGTAGAGTGGCCAATTATTTTTGTGTTGCTCCAATTGAACTGATGCTGTTTGGTGTCGGTAACACATGACCCGACCCATCACTAGACCCTCACTTGACACACCCACACCTGAAGACCTTATAAACAGAATAGCACTGACCCAGACATCCCGTAAACTGCTGAAGATGTTGCCTGGTAACAAAATGTTCGGAAAGCAATCCAGAAGCTTGGAAAATGAACCTTCACCCTCATCCTACACCTGAGCTACAGATATTCGCCATCATTACAAACTTAGGGATTTACTGAAACATGAGATCTCACCAGCAATACCACAACATTTGCACACAATTGAGCAAAATTAAATCACAACAGTTGGTCATCTCAGTATAATATCCTGCTATCCACCTTCCATAATCTTGTGTCAGCAAATAGTGACTTCTGCCAGTAAATTGGTACTCTCATTTAATGTTCTCCTTTAAAAACCTCTGCCACAACAAGACTCCTCCAAAGTGTGTTCCTAGCAAAATTTGTTGAGCAATTGAGTTCTGACATATGACTGAATGCTGTGTCATTTAATTTGCATCCTATGTGAATTATTGTGCCCTTGTTCTCTGTTGAATCACTGAAGACAGTATGTTGCAATATAAAGACTGTATACGTTCAATCTGAGCCTTGCTTTTGTTGAAGAGTCTGTATAATCTTATCTGCATAGCCAACTCCAAGTTTATGGCTATCTATTTAATTGCCATCTCAGTATTTAATGGAATCCAACAGAATTTAAATTTTGACTTCAAAAATGTTTACAATCCAAGTGCAATACTACCATCTGATCACATTTTGTAACACTGCTAAGTGATAACAAATGTTAAAGCATTTCTCAATTCAGGGAGATAAGATGCAATCTGTATTTGTTGATATTTCAAACTTAAGCCTATTAAATATTTTGCCAGGTTCTAAAAGCCACCCAGCTTCAATACAGTCAAGCTGCTAAACCGATCCAGTCCATCAAAAGTCCTTCAGAAACAAAATTTAGACTATAAATACATTAACAAATTCATGCCCATTATATTAAAGGCCATCATAAAATTAAAGGAAATTACTAGGGAGAAGTCAGAAAGAAAAAAAAGGAAGAAATTCTATGCAGTCTGAGCAGAAAAGGGTAAAACCTATACTCAAATACTTATTCACTTTTAATAAATATTATCATCAGAATATACAGACAGAATCTTTGACATATGAGATATAATGCTTTGCCACTTTTAGCTGATCCAGAAATTTTAAAATAAAAGACTTTGGAGACAAAGATTGGAATACTTTTAAATAGAGATAGTCCTCGACTTACAACAGTTCATTTAGTGACCGTTCAAAGTTACAACAGCCTTGAAAAAAGTGACTTATGACCCATTTTTCACATTTATGCCTATTGCAACTTCTCCACGGTCATGTGATCAAAATTCAGATGCTTGGCAACTGATTCATATTTATGACGGTTGCGGTGTCCTAGGGTTATGTGATCATCTTTTGTAACCTGACAAGCAAAGTCAATGGGGAAACGAGATTCACTTAACAACCAGGTTACTAACTTAACTGCAGTGATTCACTTAACAATTGTGGCAAGAAAGGTGGTGAAATGGGGCAAAACTCACTTAACAAATGTCTCACCTAGCAACAGGAATTTTGGGCTCAATTGTGGTTGTAAGTCGAGGATTACCTGTATGAGCTACAATTTAGTATGTTCAATGTGTTTGCTGATTGTTTCCATGTTTCCTAACTATCTTATGCCTAGCAAGCTGTCTGAATGGCTTGGTTTACAATGCCCATCAATACCTGGTCATGCCAACTGATCCAGAACTGTAGGCTAATTATTCTAAAGGAGGACTATCCCAAACCCTCTACCCGTTCTTAACATTGCCAATTGTTCAATGTTATGTGTCATGCACAAAGAAGTACCCCGTTTCTTACAGGCAAGGAAAAAAAAACATATATTTTCTGCTCTTTGCAAAATCTGTAAATGCAAATCTAATTGATGTATGCGCTCATTCATCAAGACTTCTTGGTGTTTTCTTCTTTTGTTTGTTTGTTTGTTTGTTTGTATCTCGCCTTCATTACTTTTACAAAAATCTCAAAACTCACCGTCTTCCTCCTATTTTCCCCACAACAACAACTCTGTGGGTTGTGCTGAGAGAGAATGACTGGCCCAAAGAGTTGAAGTCCACGAGTCATAAAAGAGCCAAGGTTGCCTACCCCTGCACTAGACCAAATTGGCTCTAGTATGAGTAAGTACATAAAAGTATTTAATGTGCCTTGGTTTTATTTAATAATAGTTGGAATATGCAATTTGGAAATTGAGCTCCTCAAATCAAGAGTTAAACTTTTTCTCTTGCATTATGCTCCTCCAATATAGCTTTTGCTATTCCTTACGGAAGAGAAAATCAATTTCCTTTCACAATATAGTATTTATACTTAACACACTTTATTTAAAGTGAAAAGTTATGTTAAAGGTATAGACATTTAACACATCTAAGCTGACCATGACCATTGTTAATGACGAACAAATTTAATATCTATGGCATCATACATCAGTATATGATCTCTACAACCATTTTTATCAGGATAGAAACAAGCATTTTAAAAGAAACATTTCAGAAGAAAACAGGCTAGTGGGAGCCAAGCTAGGAACACACCATGTCTTAGTATCTTACATGTATACATATTCCAGCATGGGTTGATTTCTAGATTCTGGATCCCGTCACATCAGCCAAAGATCCAGCTTCAAGATGCCATTAGACCATGATGCTTTTGGGCCAGTTGTTGTCTTTAAGATCCAACAATGTTACAGTCATGATGAAACAATCTGTGTAAACAAAGTTGGATTTTCAAAGAAAAGGCAAGATGCAAACACCTACATGGATACATCTTCCACCATGGGACATGAACAGGTTAGTTAAAACAATCATGTCTTTTAGGTACTGCTTTTTTCCCCAATATGTAGCTCTACCACGTCTGTATCTTAAATCACTTTTCTTCCTAAAGGCCATTTGTAATATTATGAGATAATGCATATGCATGGTACAGGCTTTTCATCAACATAACTGCAACAACTTTACTAACCAGTTTGAGCTGATAATCTATTAATAGGAATGAATTAGCCCTCAATCCATTATTATCTAGGTGTGGTGCTAAATTAAAAACAATCTGCTGCTCCTGTTAAACGCCTTTGACACAAGTCCTAAGGAAGCACTTCCTCTACTTAACCTTCCAAAGTATAACTAGATTGAAATTGTTTGAAAGGTTTCCTGACTTAAGCTGGACTTTGGGAGGATTTCATTCTATCTAGGGCAGTGGTTCTCAACCTTTTTAATGCCGCGACCCCCAACCGGTCGTAAGTCAAGGACTACTCAACCGGTCATAAGACAAGGACTATCCAACCAGTCATAAATTGACTTCCCCTGCCCGGGAGTGCCGCACATGCGTGGTGCCGCCCCCTGCGCCGGCCGAGGCGTAGCTGGCAAGGGGCAGCGACGGCGCAGGGCGACCATTGGCTGGCCACCAGCTGGCCCAGCCCAAGGGAGGTAAGGTACCTGCCGGGCCCCACAAGTGCCAGCAACCCTCCCTGCGCCCGCCAGCCTCCCACCTCCCACCCCTGGCCCTCTTTTACTTACATTTTTAGCAGGGAGGAGTGGAAACTTCCAGACAGCTCGCCTTCGCTGCAGACAACTTGCAGCACCGTTTGCAGAATGGGACTTTTGGTGGATTCAGCAGAGCAGAGACAGCCTGGACAATTCCTATTGGCTTTTGAAAGCCAATAGAATTAGACTAAGGAAAAGGGGAAAAAATGGCGGAATGCGTTGTTTGGCAACCCCCGTGAAATAGTCGTTCGACCCCAAATGGGGTCCCGACCCACAGGTTGAGAACCCCTGATCTATGGCCTCTCCTTCCCCCTAAAACATTGGTTCTCAACCTTTTTAATGCTGTGACCCCCAACTGGTCGTAAGTCGAGGACTACTCAACCGGTCGTAAATCGAGGACTACTCAACTGGTGCAGCACCGTTTGCAGAATGGGACTTTTGGCGGGCTCAGCAGGGCAGAGACATCCTGGACAATTCCTATTGGCTTTTGAAAGCCAATAGAATTAGACTTTATTCAAGAGAGTCTATTCTATTGGCTTTCAAAAGCCAACAGAATAAAAGAGAGTAGCACAGCTAAGGAAAAGGGGGAAAAAATGGCGGACTGCGTTGTTTGGCAACCCCCGTGAAATGATCGTTCAACCCCAAATGGGGTCCCGACCCACAGGTTGAGAACCACTGCCCTAAAATATCATTTTTATACGTATGGCTGAAAAAACAGCCGATTTTAGTAACTTGGGTCTCCTGTGATTAATAACTTATAATTATTTCCTTGCAAGTTTTTGCAGTTGGGGACACAATCTCTGAAACCGTATTCAAATACTGCAATATGGTTTGACTCTGCTTCATTTTTTTATTTTTATTTTTTTGAGATCAAGCTTTGTGCTTCCACCCAGAATCACAAAATACAGAAGCATAAAATATTCTGCTTCAGACCAAAGGTACTGCCAATATTTCGTAGCACACTTGCTGTCACCCCTCTCCTGTAATACCTCCCCTAAAATGCACATTTTCCTGAGCATGTCAGCAATTAGAAGACACCCAGAGTTTGGAATAAGATAGTTGGTGATATAAATGTTTTAAATAAATAAATACATTATGAGACCCCAGGAAAACAAATGGCTTTTTTCAGTAGATGCCAACAGCCGGTGATTCTGGGACCCATTCAGCGTGTCCAAAAGCAAATGCACTTTTTCCTCGAATCACTGCAGATATTGTATATCTCTAGTCAAATGTATGAGATGGAACCTTGCCCAATCCATTAAACCAGTGGTTCTCAACCTTTTTAATGTCGTGACCCCCAACCGGTCGTAAGTCGAGGACTACTCAACCAGTCGTAAGTCGAGGACTACTCAACTGGTGCAGCACCGTTTGCAGAATGGGACTTTTGGCGGGCTCAGCAGGGCAGAGACAGCCTGGACAATTCCTATTGGCTTTTGAAAGCCAATAGAATTAGACTCTATTCAAGAGAGTCTATTCTATTGGCTTTCAAAAGCCAATAGAATAAAAGCTAAGGAAAAGGGGGAAAAAATGGCGGACTGCGTTGTTTGGCGACCCCCATGAAATGGTTGTTCCACCCCAAATGGGATCCCGACCCACAGGTTGAGAACCACTGCGTTAAACCATCCCTGGCAGGTAAACCTTCAATTCCTATTGGACACTAAAAATCAAACAAGTCTCATTCTAACTTAAATAAATATGATTTCCACTTTCCATGCTGGTCTTCTTCAGAAAGCGTAGATCGGGTATTGTCTGCTTTTTGCTTTTAACATTTGATTCTAAATGTCTTAGATTACTTCACTTTGTGAGGACCTAGCATGCCATGGGCTGCAGCAAGTAACCGGCTTAATCCTACCTTGGAATTTATTGGGTGAGGGGAAGATGTTGAGAGAAAGTCATAAGATGCCGAATAAATGTGTTGCAAGTCACATGCCGCACAGTCTCACCCTGGCCTTTTCTTGAAGACAAAGAAAGAAATACAGTATCAGCAACAAAAGGATGCCACAGATAAAACTGTTTACTAAGTTGGTTGAGTTTCTTGACAGCGGATGGTTACAAGGGCTATTACTCATTTGGGTTTAAGAACTGCCACTCATGTAAGCATCTGCTTCAGTAACTCAGTAGGAGCCACACCTTCAGACCTTGCCCAAAAGCTGCATTTCTTTCAACGGGCTGGATGGAAATGACAATCAGGCCATAATGCTGGCAAAATATTTTCCCTGACATAGCATCCTTTTTTCCCGTGCTTTCCCACCTTCCTCTGAAACTATTGCAATGAAGCCAGCCATGGATGCCTCCAAATATTCTACCTTTATCTAATAAAAATCCATTGCTTACTGTGTCTTGCTTTATACACATACCTCCTTCCTTAAAAGGCCCACTGGGATTTTGGCAAAAGAAATGAGAACATAGGCATACATTATTCTAATTTGGCCAACAAAAATGTTTTAGATGTACATATATACAGATAGTCCTTGACTTACAACTGTTTATTCAATGACCATTCAAAGTCACGCCACTGAAAAAAGTGACGTATGACCTTTTTCACACTTACATGGCAGCATGCCCATGGTCACATGATCAAAATTCAGATGCTTGGCAACTGGTTCATATTTATGACAGTTGCAGTGTTCCAGAGTCACGTTATCCCCTTTTGTGACCTTCTGACAAGTAAAGTCAATGGGGAAGCCAGATTCACTTAACAACTGTGTTACTAACTTAACTGCAGTGATTCACTTAACAGATGTGGCAAGAAAAGTTGTAAAATGGGGCAAAATTCACTTAACAAATGTTTCACTTAGCAACAGAAATTTTGGGCTCAATTATGGCCATAAGTTGAGAACTACTTGTACCTATGTATGTGAGTATGTGCGTGATTGGGGTGTGTCTGTGTGTCAAATTCTTGTATTAAAACCCAATAGCTATAAGATTTTTTCAGAGTCTTCCAATACAGGCAAAAAACATGAAACTTGGCTAACCTGTTGGCTAGGTAGGTATGCTAATCTCATTTTTTTTAAAGTTAATCTCCAGCCTGGAACATCTGGTAGAACAACTGATAACAAAGTCTGGGAGAATCTATAATATTGGATGGAGAATACTATGTTAAAGGAGGTGACCTACCCTAACTCCTGAGAGGAAATGTTCTATGAAAAAATCATGTTTTGCTACCATGTTTCCCCGAAAGACCCTGTCTTATATTATTTTTGCCTCCAAAAGAGGCATTAGGTCTTAATTTGGGGAGTGTCTTATATTTTTCGTGACACCTGCCTCGCCTCGCGGCGGTGGCACTAACAGCCCTGTCCTGCAGCCCACGTGCCTGCCGGTCCACTTCTGTGGCCGCTCGCAGCAGGAGGCCATGCGGCACATCACACTGCTGCCACCACTACAAGGCAAGGCAGGTAGGGGATGGGGTGGAGCTGCCCCATGCTCCCTGCACCCGCAATGTGCCGCACGGCCTCCTGCCCCGTTATGGCAGTGAGGTGGGATGGAGTGGCCAGGGTCCTAACTAGGGCTTATTTTGGGTACGGCTTATAATAGCCCCCCCAAAAAATCAGGATAGGTCTTAGTTCAGGGGAGGGACTTATTTTCAGGGAAACACAGTACTCATCCCATGTAAAGGTTCAGTGATACTTAAATACTTTAGTATCTCTTCACAAAGGGCCAGGTTCTCGTCTTCTCTCTTCAGATGCTTGTATCTCAAGGTATTACTAGCTGAAGACCTTTTGAATTTAAATGAAATGGTAAATTCTGAAGAAAAGCAAAAAAAAAACTCTAAAGCTCTGGATTTGATTTTATTTGCCCGGCTGAGGGAGGTGCATGCGTTTCAAAACCATGAAGATAGTGGCTAGAATTGCATGCAAAGCACATAAGAAAGTGGCAGGGTTCAATTGCATGGTCATAGCTGGCATTTTCATCTTTTTTTTCCCTGCTACTCCAATTAGTGGAATCAGGTCACTTGGAGCAAGTACAAATTTCGGTCCGGATGGAACATGCACCTCCAAACCCAGACCTGACTGTAATTAAGCCATCTCTGAATATACTGTTGCATTTGTGTACTGCAAGAAATCTACTGTGTTTCTTCCTGTGCCCCAAATTCCCTATAGATATATATTTGTGGTCCATGTAGTGGCTGAGGTACTTCTTTCATCTCAAAGACTTCTAGAGCAACTAGACTCTGAAAGCCTCTTCTGCAGAGAAATCTAAAATAGGCAGTGTGCTTCACTCTGCATTGTCATTCAGGCTGTCGTAGCAACATCTGAATGTTTATAATTTTCCACGTTCAATTAAGCTACAGTATTTGTCTTGACATTTGTTTCAAAGCCATAGATCAGAAAGAGTCAGAGAGCATCTTTTCAAATGAATACATTTTACTGAAATATGGAAGCTTTTGTGCACTACAGCTCCCTTCATTGATGCATGGAATGGACTTTCTTAACTTGACCTGAAAAATCTTGTATTTGCTTGCCTAATTACTGCTTCCTTCCTTAGACAGAACTTGCAAAATATGTCTAGAATGGCTGTTTGTTTGTTGCTTTTGTTTGTATTCGGAGAAATTTACAGTACTTTGTTTCTGAATACATTGAAATAATCATTTCTAACTTAATGTGGTTAAAAATATGGCATGATGCAAAAGGTTGGCACATGGACATCTTGGAATACCAGAATATTAGTCAGAGTTTGTAAAAGAAAAAAAAACTAGCTAGTTAAATTCGCTTAGACATAAATAATGATTTTACATTATCTGTTATGTGGTTTACTTAGCTTTCAGCTTTGTCAAAAACAAATTAAAAAAAAAACCAGCCAAAGTGTAGAGAAAGCAAGTATGGAAAACATTCTTTGGAAATTAGCTTCCTGTGCAAATACAATAAAAACTCAACTGCTGGATATGTGTCTAGGGCACAGGTCGGCACAGGTCAGCAACCTGCGGCTCCGGAGCCACATGCGGCTCTTTGAGCCTTCCCTTGTGGCTCCCAGCCTCCTCTGTCATTTGCAGAGAGAGGCACTTGCGCTTCCCTGCTTCTCTCTCTCTCTCTCTCTCTCTCTCTCTCTCTGTGTGTGTGTGTGTGTGTGTGTGTGTGTGTAAAAGAGAGTGCACTCACAGTGTTCTCCGAGGAGCTGAAAAGCTTATTGGGCGGAGCTCCTCCCTTTGCTGCGTCTCTGCAGGAAGCAGGAAGGGCAGGAGCTAGCTAGCCCAGCTATGCTGACTCAGGAATTCTGGAAGTTGGAGTCCATGAGTTATAAAGGAGCCAAGGTCGCCTACCTCTGAGCTTGTTGGAGAACAGCTTGAAGCCAGCTTGCCAGGTGAGCAGCAGATCGGAGAGGGGGAGAGAGAAAGAGAGAGAGAGAGAGGAAAGAGAGAGAGAGAGTGGGGAAGAGGACTGGCAGACCAAGGGCAGATAGAGGGGGGGGGAGAGAGAGACAGAGACAGAGAGAGAGAGACCCTTTTGACATCTAAAATGAAGATAACACTGTATATATCCTTTTTACCTGTGTGTGTGTGTGTGTGTGTGTGTGTATGTGTGTGTGTGTGTGTATATACATACATACATACATACATACATACATACATATATATTTGTTTTCTGAGGTTTTCGCGGGTGTTTGTATGTAGGTCTTTGGTTATTCGGGTTTTCTCCCATGTAAAATTGAAAGTGTCTTGGTGACGTTTCGACGAAGTCTCATTCGTCATCTTCAGGCTGGTGCGTTCGGCTTCATGCTTTGGTGGAAAACAGGTCCAAGCGGCTCTTTGAGTCTTTTGGGTTGCCTACCCCTGGTCTAGGATTATCAGACCTCTGGCAAAAGAAGGACATGTTCCCCCTTTTTATCCTTGTGTCCTCCGTCCAGCGGGCAGACCCATACAATCAAATCTTGTCTGGCTTTTTGAGTGTATCTTTGTAAAATTTTGGATTACTTTCCCAAGAGTAATTGTTCAAACTCTTGTGTATTGTGACCTTGTAAATAGCCTGATGCTTTCCTTCTCTTGTCTGTCAGCAGATTCAACAGTCTAGTAATCTATTTTCTGATTCCAGCAACCGGCTTCAATCCAGCCTCTTCAAATCTACAATTGCTGCGGTCTGTAGATCACATGATGTTGACATTTAGAAAGCATGTTCTGTATTCTCAGTAGCGTATGTTCTTGAAAATAAATACATTTTGGGAAAATACTGTGATTCAAAAACCAGTCTTTCTGATGCTGGAAGAAATAATTTCATATATATGTAGGCCTTTTTATTTTATTTTATTTTTTCAGCTTTTCACTTTACAGTACTTTTTGTTACGGATGCCAAGAAAATTAAACCCTTAGCTTATTCCTTTCCAATTGGCCGAGTCCTCCTTTGCTGGTTCAAATATCTGGCAACCCAAAATATGCCAAGACCAGAGGTTTCTGTGCAATCGAATATTTATTACCTATTTTGGAAGCTTGTAATTTCCTGCTTTTCCCTCACATCTGCCCTGAGTCTTTATAAAGGTCAACCTTCTATTTGCATATGAAGATTATTTGTTAGTTCACCCTCCAAGGGAAAGGCTGCCTGATCTAAGTCCACTTTTAGGTAAAGTACCACAAGAAGAGAGAACAGAAGCCCTGGAGTTGTCCATCTGCACTTGAGCTACCATAGCCAAGGTACAAACATTCAGTCAGACAGCCCCTAATTGACAAGAAGAGTTGGGAATTTTCTGTAATTGTTGGCATTTTTGCAGCCCAAGTCAGCACCTATAGCAATCTAAGAAAGGCTGTATAAATTAGCACCTGCAATTTTTATGTTCTTTGCAGCTGCCTGATAAGCTTCTTCTTTTGCCCGATGACCTGCATGTCTGTCTGTTACAAAATTATTTTTGTACAATGAAAATTTCACAAAAAAAAAAAAAATGTGGAGAAGCCTGGTGTTAGGGAGCCTGTGATCAAAGAAACAGCTAAAAATATTATCATATCATTTATTTACTGGAAAATAAGATGCTGAATTTATCTCTTATAAGCTGTTTAAAGAGATAAATGACTAGCTGACTAAACAAAGGGAGGACACTGTGAGGTAAAGGTACAACATGTGATGTGGAAAGAGAAAAAAATAAACATTTTGCAAGAGCAGAGATCTGAACAATGTGACAAACATTCAAGAAAGCAACTTGTCTTTCTTGACCCCAGTCACTTGACAGAAGAGGTCACAGAGAGATGGTTATCTGTTACACATCTGTTACACAGCTACTGGGAGGTGAATTAATAGTCAAAAGTTATTTTTTTCTAATAGATATAGTTTAGCTCAGAGGTCACCAACCTTTTGGACACTAGGGACCAGTTACGTGGAGAGAGATTTTTCCGCAGACAGGAGGTGGTGTGGTTTTGTGTGCTGTCTGCATCCTGTGGATGGGTTTTCCTTGTTTGTGCAGATTGGCTGCTGGCATGCCACAGCCTGGTACTGGTCCATGGACCGGCGGTTGGGGACCCCTGGTTTAGCTTTCATCATGGGTTTTGTAAATGTACTTGTGCAAATAATTACTGTACTTTATGGCTGTGCAGCAATCCAAATTAAAAGATGAAATAGCACTGTGGAGCACACTGATTTAAAATGGTGCAGTTATTCACATGTGCTCCAAATCACTTTTTGCTTTTCAGTCCAAGTTGCAAGAGAGGATAAATCCCTTTACTTCTAAGCAGATTCTAAAGAACACCTCTTCACACACACACCCAAAAAACCCTGGACTATGGAATTTGAGCATTCAGTTACATCACTATGTTGTTTTGCTGCTTGTCCAAACTTGTGACCGGAACAGTTGGTGATATGAAAACAGGAAAGCTTTTCAGACATACTAGAATGTCTTTTCCCATATGAAGGACAACTCCAAAAATAAGGTATTTTTTAAAAAAAGTTAAATTTCAACATGTACAGCAATGTCAATGTAGGGCTACATTAGCTAGTTACAATTATATCCCATAATTCAATTGTAAAAGCTATATTCACACTTGACAGAGTAAGCTGCCTCCTTCTACTCACCATTAACACTAATCACAAGTGATACATTTCTGCAGAAGAAGGCATTTATAATTTGTGGAGTTTTTAATGCAGGTACCTACTCAAGTAACATTTAACCTTCAGCAGGAGCTCCATTTTCAGCAATTTGACAGATCCCAAATATCAGTACATATTTAATTATTATCATTATTATTCATTAGAAATACTAAACTAAATTTGAACCATTAAAATACATTTTTCGAAACAGATGAGGTTTGAATGAATAAAAAATGGCAGGAGATAAATATGATAAACTAAAGTCAAATGTCAGAACCGATGTCTTGGAATCAGAACTGAGTATTTTCAGCCCCACTTTAGTTGGCTTTCGAGAGTAAGTGTTTTACATTTTTCATGAAAAAAGATAGCACATTTCATTATCAGAAAAGTACAGTTGTATTATATGATTTGGGGGGGGGCACAAAATACATGCGGGGCTGGCATATCATCCATTGCCTGTGGATTTCCCACCCATCTTAAGCATTTTAATACAGATCAATTTTTTCTGTAAGAACTACATTCCATACTGTCCTCATGTTATTCAAGGTTAGAGCCTTGAGTTGGAGGTTACAATACGGAGCTATTTAGTTCTGTAGATTATTCAAATGTAATAAATTTATGTGAGTTTATTGTTAATTCACTTATCTCAATTAAGTGACTTTAATTGCTTCTTGGTCTTTTTATGAAGATGTGTCATCAACTTTGCATTGTCTCTTAGCTAACACATACAGTAGATAAGTTTTCCCAGAAAGATCTGCCTCTTCACATTTTCCAACAGTGCATTCAGTCCCACAGTAATTGAATCCATCCTCCATGTTGCTAGTCATCATCTTCTCTTTCCAGCTTTGCCAGCATTATATATATATTTCGAGAAAGATCTTCATATGTGTCTGAAGTATGATAATTTGAACCTGGTTATGTGTGCCTAAATGAAAATGCTTGGTTTAATTGTTCAGTAATCCATTTTATTATTTTCTTGACTATCTATGGTATATTCAGGAATCATCTCCAACACCAAAATTCCAAAATATCAACACTCTTTTTATATTGCTTCTTTGAAGTCCAACTTTCACTTTCATAGTAAGTTACAGAGAAAACCATGTCTGTATGATTCTGATCTTTATTGCTATAGGCACAGCCCATAATCACCTAAAATCTACAGAAGCCAATGCCTTCATGGCTACTCTACTAAGTGCTAGTTTGTGGTATATTTCTTGACTCCTGGTTCCTTTGCTCTTGACCAGGGGTCTTCAAACTTGGCCCTAACTGAACTGAAGCGTGCCTGACTGAAGAATTCTGGGAGTTGAAGTCCACAAGTCATAAAAGGGCCAAGTTTGAAGACCCCTGCTCTTGACAGTTGATTCTAAAAGGCAGAAACTATTTTAATTTCATTATCTTCATTGCCAGTTCTAATGCTGGTTGCTGTATCTTTTGTCATGAGTTTCGGTTTCTTACATTTAATCTTAGTCTTGGGGAGTTCTTTTACTGTGCTCTTTGACTTTCATTACTAGAGTTTGCAGACTATTTGCATTTTCAGCTATCAGAGTAGTTCATCAGCATACTATAAGTTATTAATACTTTTTCTCTAATTTTGAAATCACACTCATCTTCTTCCTGTCCAGCTTCCTGCAATATATATTCCTGCAAATTATAGATATAAAATAAAGAAGCGAATACTATCTTGTCTCAATCTCTTGATCTTTTTAACAAGATTAAAATTAAGGTCATTTTTTTCATTCTTTTTTAAGAACAATACAAAAGATCACTATGTATTTAATAAAGAAAATAGAAGCTCAAGTAGGCGTACAATGCGATATTTCACATATGATGCTTGAGATTATTTTACAGTTTTCCTTTCACGCCAAGCTTAATGTCTTAGCTTGTTCCCTCTACGTTTGTCAAAAACCCATTACTGGTTCTGCTCTGTTTACAGTATCACTGCCTCTGTTGTTTCATGAAACAACATATGTTTGTTTTTTAGGACAAAGACTTCCTAGAAAAATAGTTGTCTTCCAGTACATTATCAACAGTCAACCTAACTCTAGATTTTCTTGCACACACAATTCTGCGTCTTCATTGAGGACGGTATCAGTACCACTACCAAGATTTAATTTCTAGGGACCTCTTAGCAATTCAAATTGCTGACCAAAGCTTTAGAAAGTCTCTTCAATAGGCAAACATGCAATTATTTTTTCAGGAGGGGTATCCAAAAAATGAAAAAAAAAAGAAAATGAATGAAAGTTCAATCATCCAGGACAAAAGTATCTAAAAAGGTTTGATTGAACCTTCATTCATTTTCTTTTTCTTGTATCTTTGGGAGGGGGCACTAACTGAGAAATGAAAAATGAAATGAAATGAGATAATAGCTAAGAAACAACAAACTACTGTAAGATTGCTTAAAAAAAGCTGCATGGCTGGCACAATCAGGAACCAGTCTTCATAGAAGGAATATCTGTGTGTGCCTTTTTTCTGTAAAACACCCATCCTGGTTTATATTTGTTTTGTGCTAAGATTGAAAATTAAAAATTGTCAAAGGTGATGAGTGATTCCCTGGGATCATTTTAAAATAAACATTTAAAGTGCAATCTGAAGGTGAGCCTCACAGAAATCAGTGGATATTCTCCTGAGTCAGTACAAAAAGAATAGCTCCTCATTAGGGACGGAAGAGTCTATTACACGTGAAATTTATATCTGCTCTGATCCACTGCATGTGTTTTTCTTTGCAATGAGAAAATTATAAGAAAATAATTGATTCCTCCATTTTTGCTATCTTCTTTCTATCTTCACCAGGCAATGGGAAAAAACTTCTCAGATCCTGGAGTATCAGTACGGAGTGTCACGATTCATATACATTTTGGGCAGAACTTCAATTTCATGGACATTTTGATTCCACCACAATTCTCTGCAGATTCCCCCATCCTCCTCAGATCTATGTTTTCTGGGACAATGTACACAGATATAGTGTGTACACCTGCTTTAATCACCTTCATGTTTGGATCTAAAGCACAACACATCTGTAATTATATAGTAACATCAATAACATCTAAGCCTCTTTTATCACAATTGCTTTCTAACATATTGATTCTATTTTAAAATATTAAGCTGTTGCCCATACAGGATTGCTGGACAATATGGCATCTTGGATTCTCAGAACAAGAATGACCAATGGAACAGAATCAGAATGCTTGTTTTAATGTTGTCACATCAGGACACCTCCCAAGTTCTCAGGATAGTTTCCCAACTCTTTATTTTTTTTTTATGGGATTGAAATCCCAGAATTCCAAGCCTTTCACTGTGTTTTAGGGAATTGTACTCCCAGAATACTTACAGGGTGACATAATGACAAAGATGATTTTGTCATGTGACAAAGCTTGAAAAGCAAAGACTCTTTTCAGTGAAAGTCAATTTTTGGTTACTTCATGGACATTCTGGAAATTTAGTCTAAATATTATTATATGCATCCAAGAAGATGCAGTTTATTGGTGTGAAATGTAAGGTCTTACACATGGGAAGGAAAAAAAAAACAGATACACAGGTACAGGATATATACTAGCATCTGGCCCACTAGATCTAGGTGTCCCAGTGGACCACTTCTTAGTACAAGTCAGCAGTGTGCTGCAACTGCCAAAAAAGCCAACGCAGTCCTAGGCAGCATGAAAAGAGGCACAGCAACAAAATCACAGGAAGTGAAAGTATCACTCTGTGCTACACTGGTGTGGCCGCATTTGGAACACTTTGTCCAGTTCTGATCACAATAGGAAAAGGATGCTGAGGCCCTGGAGGGAGGGCAGACAAGAGCAACAAAGATAAGGGAGCTGAAAGTTAAATCCTATGAAGAACATTCAAAAGAACTAGGTGTGTTTAGCTTAAAAAAGTGAAGAGTGAGGGGACACATGACAGCAGTCATCCAATATACGAAGGGCTGCCACAGGGAAGAGACAGTTGATTTATTCTCTATAGCATCTGAGGACAGGAAAAGAAGCAATGGGTGGAAACTCAACAGAAAAAAGGTGGAATTTGCTTACATAAGAACTATTGAGCAATAAGAACTCCTCCCGGAGTTTTGGATGCTCCATTCCTGGAGGTTTTCAAGACTGGACAACCATTCATCTGAAATGGGTATGAGGACTTCTACCTTGGGCAGAAGATTAGACTAGAAGACCACCAAGCATTATGAGTCTATTATTTGAACATCTGGCTGGCAAAACTTAAAAAATAATCTAAGCAGGTTCAGATCCTGTTTTACTTAAAAGATCTAAGTAAAATCTAAGAACTATACGAAGTAACAAAAAAAAAAACCACCCTGAAAATGGTAAAGATCATCCAGAATAATATTAGAAAACCAGTTGGTTATGTCCACATCTTCACTAGATGTTAGGCTCAAGTTATACTTTATCTTTTAATGACAATTGCTTCTCCTTTGCTTCTAGTTACTCAGCAATTTATTCTCTTATCAGCTGGCTACAGTTAATAAAAAGACAAAGTCAGATGTGAGCTCATAAGATTAGAGAATACATGCCTTTTTCTTCTCCTCCTGGATTCTGAATTTTGTTTCTTGTTTTGCTGTACATATCCTGAATGAAAGCAAACATAGGAACAAATGAACCATGAATCAATCTTAGGTGGAATTTTCGTGGTTATTGGAAAAGAATCAAGCAGGACATTTTGAACTGGGATTACAATCCCTAGGAATAAGTATGTGTACACTTACGACCAAACCATGGTGCTAATTCCTCCAGTCTTTCAGTCTGAAGCCCAGGGACGTCAAATCCCTTTTTTGCAGTTTTCAGAGTCATCTTGACTTTGTTTATTAGAAATTGGCATCATAGTTTCATATTGCTCTCAGGTAGAAAGCACATTAAAACTATCATGTAATAAGTTAAACTAGACTTAGTATGGTGTGTGCAAAGAAAACTGTCCCTGTATAAGGGAGAGAATTGTTTCTACTTGCTTTGCATAACATATACTCACTGCAATGTCAATCAAAGCCCCTAATGTCAATCAAAGCTCCTAATCACCCCCAAGTGTCTTTTTGGAATTTCAAAACAATGAGACTGGGAACTGTTTTTATTACCTTTACATTAAAATATGGAAGATAGATGAAGTTTGTGACTTTATCAATTCAGTAATATAATCAATGCACTGTAACTTTAAATGCTTATTGAACCTCATTGCTACCTAGAAGTCACTGCTATTTAGAACTACCAATTAATACTACAAAAAAATCGCTTCAGAATATGCTAGGCACATTTAGTTGAAAACAATTTCAAAGTACCAACGGATCTGTTAACATGTAGCCCAATTCTGTGCTGAATTCTTAGGAAAAATACTGCATTTTGGACAAAAGCAAATCACTGTGCCTTTTTTGCAATTCTATAATATTATGCAAAAAATATTTATACAAGGTAAAAGCAAGAAGACAACTTCTATTTCTGAATAATATGGAGGGGGGGGGAGAAAATCCAATTCAAGGATTTTTTTTTTTTTTTTTTTAAAACCCCTGATATACACTAGAACCAGCTTCCAAGTATGTGGGCAGTAATCTTAGTCAAATCATATATTTGTCCCTAAAAGGTATTAGGAGCTGTTTTTTCTATGCAGATAAATATCAGTCCTTATTAGCTTTAGCACTCCTATAGAAACACATACACAAATAATGTTTTCAAAGGATCTTTGATTCTAGGTGCCAAAAATATTCAAATTGATAAAGAGTTGAATAGTATCAGTTCCTAAGCTATAGAGCTATCTGTAAAGATTATCTATTCTTTTTAACAATTACCTATTCTTTAACTTAAAAAAGAGTTGTATTTAATCACTTTAAGCTAATTTATGCATGGAAAATTCAATGATCCCTAAGATCATCTAAAACTCTCACATGATTTCTGGGATCAGATGATTATAAACGACTCATTGATTTACCGCTGGCAAATTTAAGAGTATAACTAATTTACTCTATAATCTTTGTTAACCTGAAATCAAAAGCATTATCTGGGTAAATTATTTATTAAATGGACTACCATATTTTCCGGCGTATAAGATGACTTTCTAAACCATGCAAATCTTCTCCAAAGTTGGGGGTCGACTTATAAGCCGAGTTGTCTTATACGCTGGAAAATACAGTAATTTAAATTCTATTCAATAGATAGAATAACAGAAATTTATTCTGTAATTGATCTCGTAACTTGTCCATTAAATGAAACATTTAAATCACCAAATAAGAATGCAATTATTCAATAGAAATCCCTAAACTGATCAGTAGAGAACTGTAGAACAGACAGTTTAAAACATTATACAACCCTCAAATTTTAATCCATCAAGGCCACTTATATTCCATGTTTTATAATTTATTATTTTTATTTCTTTTCTCCAAGAAGCACAAGATGACCTGACCTTTTTCCTACTACCATTCTATCCTTACAGCAGCCCAATGAAATAGGCTACACTGCGGAAAAAACTGCTGCTTTCTCACCCATTAAACTTCACAAATGATTTGAATCCTAAACTTCCAGTCATCCTGACCATGACATCAGACAGGCTAAGGTGAATGTTGTCAGACTGGTTTTAACATGAAGACTCCTGTTTAAAAACAGGTAACGTGCAGGTATTCCTTTCCCATTTTCATACTCCCATGGAGTATTCGGTCAAGAATAAAGCTATACTGTAAAAGGCAAATTGGACGTCAGAATTACAGCACAAGGAATGTCTACTCAGGAGTAGGTTCCAGATATTGTAAACTTACAAGCATCAGTCTGAGAATGGGTGGTTTTACATAGCTGTGCATAAATTACCAGGGTTTGCAGAATGTGGTAGCCTCAAACCTAATGCTACATCAAAGCTTAGCCTATTGTGCAAAGCAGGCTTATCTTGGAAAAAGGCATGATCTGAATTTAATCTCAGGTAGGAAAATGTGTTACATTGCCTTTTGTTCCTGCATAGATTTTGTTCCTGCATATGGTTGTTTCTGAAGTGTATAACATACACACACACAATCTTTCAAATTACAGTAAAACCCCAAAATATTCCATTTCAGAGTCGTTTTAAAACCTGCTTAAAAAAACAGAACCATCATTCAATGTAACCCAAAGCCTGGGAATTGAGCCAGGGTTTAATGGATCCTCTCAATGGGTCCAAGGTGGGTGATGAGGTAGGCACTTTCTGGGTTCCAAAAGTTGACATTACTGTATTTAAGGGATCAGACCCAGAGCTTGCAAACTTTGTCATATAAAGTAGCTTTCCATTCAAGAGGAGGGGAAGGAGACCCAGCACCTTCTTTTCTTTCCTTATGAATGACCCGCAACCCTCCACATTAAAAACCGCATTATAGGATTTGAGATCCTAGGTCAGTGGTGGCGAATCTATGGCACGGGTGCCAGAGACAGCACTCAGAGCCCTCTCTGTGGGCACACACACCGTCACCCCAATCCTAGGCCTTCAGCTGGGTTTTATAAAACCTTTTCGGTTTCGGCCAGTGTTTCTCAACCTTGACAATTTTAAGGCATGTGGACTTCAACTCCCAGAATTCCACAGCCAGCATTGCTGGCTGTGGAATTCTGGGAGTTGAAGTCCACATGCCTTAAAATTGTCAAGGTTGAGAAACACTGGTTTAGGCCTCCATCACCATGCGCAAAAAAAAGGGGAGGGTTCAATCAATCAATCAATTTCAATTTCTCATGGGAAAAAAAAGATCTTGCAAAGTTGGAATTGCTTGATTAAACTTTTTAGTCCCATCAGTCTGCCGTACCATCCAATGGGCCACACCCACCCGGCACCCGACAATGCATAAGTGGGTTTTGGGTTGCAGTTTTGGGCACTCGGTCTCTAAAAGGTTCACCCAGATCTCATCAGAGAAGCTGTGACAGACATATAGAACGTGTATAATCGGACTGCACCCTTTCAGAGCCAGAAACTAAGAGGAAACAAGCCATCTCCCCGGTTTCTGTGTAAGCGGTGGTCGTTTGGTTTGAACATAAAGACGAAGTAGAAGCGGGAAGCGCTGCGGCCCGGTAAAATTTCGTCGGGCTCCCAAGCCCCTCCTGTCCCAGCCTAAGAAGCCAAGGGCTTGAGAAGGGAGCTGCTTAGTTAGCATCTCTACGCCGCGAGGAGGAAATGGTCTGAACTCTACGGGGGGGGGGAGGGGGGCACAAAGATGTTTTCCATCATTTGCTCAGCAAGGTCAGCTTTTATCATTTGAGTTTCCAGAGGGAGTGCTGAGATTCAGCTGTTTTTTGGGGGGAGGAGGAATGCCGCCCCTTCAGGTGACTTTTCTTCCCCAGAAGCCCCAGGACACCAGAAGCTTTCTCCCCGGTCACGTCCCAACATGTTCCCCCCTCCTCCCCCCTCCCCAACAGGTCTGAGTACCTCTGGCATCACGGGATCGGGAGTCACGCTCCTTCGCGGATTAGTCCTGGCTCCACCTTCGCGCCTTGCTAGCCAATCTGCGCGCGAAAGGGGCCGGACCGCTTCGGGCTGAAGAGACTTTTAGTGAAGACCCCGGCCCGGCGCCAGTCAGAAGGCCGAAGGAGGGTTTCCGGTCGCTGTTTATAGGTAAGGCCGGCTGGGAAGCCAGCGACGGGTTTGCAGCGTTTCTGGGGAAAGGAAAGAGAGCGAGAGACATTAGTCTCCAGCAGCGTTCCTGACATTCTTGGTCCTGGCCGCGGAATTTGGGTTATGAAAACGGGGTGGGGATGCCGGCGAGTGTCGGTGGCGTCTCTTTCACAACGGTTTCATCTCTCAGCCTTTCTGACGCTGGGATCCTTAGGAGTGAAAGCCGGCTTGGGTGACTTTGGGTCATTCTCCCTCTCTGCCCACCTCACAGCTTGGTGGTTGTGGGGGGGGGGGAGAATAAAGTGGGATTTATAAACGACTCGCCGCCTTGAGTCAGCTATAACAATAAAGGCGGGATAATCAATCTATTCATCCATTGCTTAGAAACCGGACAATCCGCATCACTTCCAGGTAGTAAATATTTGGGGAACCTTGTGTGTGTGTGTGTGTGTGTGTGTGGGAGGGGGAGTTTCTTCGACTGGGTAAAGCTGTCTGCTTTGTGGGCTTTTCTCCACCGCAGAAAACTGCCGATCGGCTGGGGTTTGGGGCTCGGGGAGCGGGAGGACCATCGCGACCTGCATCGGGCATCTCCTTTGCTTTGGCTGCCGGGACCGGTTCGATACTATTTGCTTTCTCACTCTTCCGAGCCGACGGCAACGAGGGCGCGCCTGTTTTGGTCGCTGTTTACAAAACCTAGAAACTGGCGTGAGTCCCGGGCGTAGAGGAATGTGCCTGCCCTGAGTCGTTTCCCCGCCCCTCCAGCTGTTTGCCTTTTCCCCTGACCTGGGCTTGCCTCCCCCTCTTTTCCTCTGGAAGGCCTCCGCCGGCTTCTGCTTGGACCGGTTGCTTGCTTATCCCGCCCCCCCCCCTTTTTTTTTTTTTTCCTCGCCTTGCCTCGCGGCGCCTGGAAAGGGAGGGCTCCGTATGTGTTTACTGGAGACAGGTCACGTGCCCGCAAGCGCCCCCCCCCTTTCCCAGGAGGAGGCCCCCGCATCTCCGCCCCTACCTCGAAGTCAGGACAGCGGAAGTGATTCCCGGAATATGGCCGGATGAGTCATTTCATGCACTTAATGGGATTCCTCGCTCCCCCTTTATACGAAGGTTTGCGCATCACGCCGGGGATCTGGGAAATTGCTACAAGGTTTCCTGTCTCGCGCTTGGAGCAAGAACCGAGCGAGCGATCCATCTGCTGGGCTGGGGTGGATGGAGCAAAAAGGCTGTTCACCAATTTGAGTTGGTGCTGTGTAGTCAAATCTACCGTGCGGTCGCATTCTGAATTAGTTGGTTGTGCTACATCGGTCAAATTGACGGATATCTTATTGGCACCGTATAATTTCTCCGACTGACTGAAGTGAAGGATGGTGAAAGAAGGGCAAATGTTTTAGTTACTCCTTTTCCATCTTTTCCCAGTGTTAAGGACTATAGTATTACATCTCTTGCAAATAAGGAGGGAAAACGCTGGTTAATTGTATTCTTAACCGGGTTACTTAAAATGGGGAGGGGGAGCATATCAAAACGTGTTTTCCCTCTATTCATTCAGGTATATTGCTACACTCACCTAGGTTTCAAAGCCAAGATGTAGCTCTAAAGATATAGCTAACAATACAGGATCTAACAATACACTTTTGTTATTGAACAGAAAGTATAGTCGCCCACTTCATGTTGGTGCAAGGGAAAGAGAATTCTAATCTTATTTAACTGCAGTCCCACTTGAAGTTGTTCTGAAAAAAGAGTTGGCTATTAAAATATCCCTATTCTTTAGTGGATCATTACCTATCTTGAAGAGCTAAGCAGACTTGAATCTGGTTAATGCTTGGATGGGAGACTGTTGACTAGGAGGTAGAAAACAAACAGATCATCCCCCTGAGGTGAGCCAGGCTGGCAGCATCAGACTTGATTTTCTGAAAATCCCTCCAGATCTGGTTGTGCCATTAGGTCTGAGGACCTCAGGGCATTGGCTCCATGGTTATTAACATTTCCTCACCCATTATTTCTTTTCTATAGCCTTGTTTTTATAATTTCAGCACTTTCTAATAATTGTTGTTTATACTAATTATTTTTTAGCTGTGTTGAACACAGCCGAGAGTCATTTGTTTTGTGGCTATATAAGTTTGAAAAAGATGTCTGTAGGCATCAAGAATCAAGTCACACCTGAAAGAGATTTTAACTTTACTTTTTGGCAATGGAATGGCAATTGTGAGGAACTTCCCTAATCCACGTTTATTCCCTGAATAAAAAATGTAACTATGTTTAAAAGTGTCATTTGACTCTTCCTCACTTTGAGCTCCCTATGACATTAGACCTTCAACAATAACTTTCTTACAAAGTAGTTCCAAGGATAAAATTTGAATTCTCCCCCCCCCCCCGAGTTTAATTTTGAGCATTTTGAGAAAAGATAATACAGTTACAACAATAAGTACAGTATATCATTTTGAGTAGATATGCATTAGCTAAACATGATTCATCGTTGGAGATTTTTTTAATATAGTTTGCTTGTTTATTACTGCCACTTAAGATAGCAATGATGATAGGTGTTGTACAAGAATTAAAATCAGACAATAAACAAGTTGCTTTATGTATTACTGCCCTTAGTTATTTTTGCAATTTTGTGAAATTGCAAAGTACCTACATAATAAAATCAAATTACTGACATGGGATGGGAGCCAGCGGCATTTCTACTAAATTTCATAGTCGTCGTTTGCTTTGACATTCATGAGTGCAGGCAGTAGCTCCTTTGCGGCTGTGTTTACATATTATATTAAGCTGTTCTGCCTTGGCACAAAGTAATGACTGCATGGTTTGGCTCTATCACGATGACAAGAGCTTGTATTTTTATTCCCATCTCATGTCATCTAGAGGAGATCTTCGTTTTCTAATTGGACAATTTTTTCACTCTCTTTTTTAGACATTTCACGATGATCTATCTATGCATTTTGGCCCTAAGTTTCGGGGCCTCCTTTGCTGCTCCAGGTTTAGATCCTGCTTTAAATGATCACTGGCTGAGCTGGAAATCATGGCACAGCAAGAAGTATCATGAGGTGAGTTTTTCTTGGGACTCAAGGAGCATGATTGCTTTAGTAATTGACAAGGTATAAAACATGCCTTTCTTGCAAAAAGAGTCATGCGTTAGAAATAGTTAATTAGGCATCTTTACAAAGACATTTTTTTAAAATATGGTAATTTGGTGTGTTGGCTAAATTATCAAAATGCGGTTTGGGATAATGGTAGTTTTGAACCAAAGTTTCTGCAATAATTTAAATTGATAAATGAACTGGACTCCCTTTTGGAAATAGAATAGAATATTAAAGATATAAAAGAGCAGCAGCTTGACTTGATGTAATTTCCAAGTTAAATCCTAACAATAAAATTCTGCTTGTTTTAGACCAAAAAGTTGGTATTACTTTAGAAGGTGAGAATTTGATAAAACAAATTAGAGATCAAAGTCGAGCTCATATAAAAAGAGTTTATAATGTATTAGTGGAATTGGATTCAGAGATGGAATTAGTCAAAGATTGTATGATAAAATGGGCCCAAAATTTTCAAGAGCCAATTTTACTAGATACATGGGAGACAATTTGGGTTGGGAATGTGAAGTTTACTCAGGCTCAAAATTTACGAGAAAATTTTTATAAAATGTTTTATAGGTGGCATTTGGATTCACAAAAATTGTCTCGTATGTATCCTAATTTACAGCCTAAGTGTTGGAGATGTGGTTGCTTAGATGCAACCTATTATCATATTTGGTGGACATGTAGAAATATAAAAGCTTTTTGGATTAAGATTTGGTGGAACATTCAGAAGATTTTTAATATTTGAAATATTTACACCACAATTGTTTTTGTTAGGTATTATTGAAGATTGTGATGTTAAAGAAACTATTTTAATGTTGAATCTTATTACGGCGGCAAGGCTATTGGTTGGGCAATATTGGAGGAAAGATTCTTTGCCTACTATAGAAGAATGGTCATTTAAAGTTTCTAATTTAGCAGAAATGGCCAAAATTTCTGCCTATTTGAAAGATCATTCACAAGAAAGATACATCTCGGTGTGGAGAAGATGGATAAATTTTGTACAGAATAAATATGGGATTAGAAAGTATCATTTAGTTTTTGATTAACTTATAGTTTAAATTGGGAGTTGTTTGTATTTGAGTTAAAGTATTTTAGGGACTTGATTATTGGTATAGTTGGATAAGCTTAGTTAGAATTTGTTTGCTTATTTTTAACCCTATAATCAGCTCTGGGAAGTGAGGGGGGGAGGGTTGGGGTGGGGGGGAGGGAGGGAGGGTTATTGTATTGTAATAATAAATTTGTATAAAACTTTTCAATAAAAAAAAATTCTGCTTGTTTTGTTCCTTGTTCATAGAAGGAAGAAGGCTGGAGAAGGATGATCTGGGAAAAGAATCTGAAAATGATTGAATTGCACAACCTGGACCACAGTCTAGGCAAACACAGTTACAGACTAGGAATGAATCATTTTGGAGACATGGTATGGATGGGCAAAATTGCCAGGTTGTTTTTCTTGAGTAATTGCTTGCATGTTACACTGATGAGTCTTCTCTTTCTTCAGACTAATGAAGAATTTAGGCAAGTGATGAATGGCTTTAAACAATCTCGATCTCAAAGGAAATATAAAGGGTCACAATTTCTTGAGCCAAACTTCTTGCAGGCTCCAAAATCGGTTGACTGGAGGGAGAAGGGTTATGTAACACCAGTAAAGGATCAGGTATGTGCCTTCCTTGTTTTAATTGCCCTAAGGCAATTAGTGTAAAATTTATAGCCCTCATAGATATTATTCTGAACATAGTTTTAGAGCTAGAAAAATAGGGAGAAAAAAATGGAAATGTGGAATTGGACCAGTTCTACAAGAAAATTTATAGCAATTGGAAGTAGATTATGATAAAGAGGAGACAAGACAGAGGTATATAATGCATACTGTAGGCAACTTGGACAGAGAAATCTTTTTTTTTCCTTTTCTCACATTGTGATATGATACAAAGAACAATACAGAGTTCCGTGGAATTCCTTATGGTAATGTCCAGCAGTGTAAAAAAATGTATAAATAGACTGGTCAAATGTATGGAAATTCAGGCTGTCAGTGACTTTTACTCATTATAGCTGTATAATAAATACCTCCTGAAAGATAGGCAATGTATCTAAAATGCAAACTGCTAGAGTGCAACAGTGGAAGAGACCTATCACAGTCCTACCCATGTGAAGTCTGCAACTATGTTTACAGACTTCACAAAGTCATCTAGAATAGCAAATGAAGACAAAAGAGGTTCATTTAGACAGATCATCAGCCTGAGCCAGCCGAAGCTTTTCAGCAGTACTAGTTAAAAATCCACGTTCCTTGTGTCAAGAACCTAAAATAGTATGTACTTCGCAAGGATTTTAACATTCCATGAGTTGTAGCATGCATTTTTGAAATAAGAATTATTAAAGTGCTTGTTCATTCAGTCTTTCCTCTGAGGATGGAGAGAACAGTTGTGTTTTCTTTTGTTTTTCTCGTGTACTGCTCTGTGTAGTCTTACTCAGCCAGGAAATGAAAACATTGTGGAAAAACTGCTAGGTAATTTGCTGAATATGCACTTTTATAATTCTGGTCTTTGTGTAGATTCTGTGATCAAAGTTAAAAGCTGGAGTCACACAAAACTCCTAATATAAGGTTAATTACCCAATTCCTGGCTAGGCACAATGCATTGAAACATAAACTGCTGCTGTCTGGATTTCTAATATAATAAGCCATAAACAAGCTCAGTATGATTATATAAAATAGGAGATGGGAGTCCAAAAAGTTGGAATAGCAAGAGATTTAATTATTGCATGCAATAAAGATTAATTGATAAGCAAAAATCACGGAAGCAACATTGGGAGATGGGAGCAGTTGTAGAG